AATGAATAAAGAAAAAAAAAAGATAAACATTTACTCTTAAATTATATTATTCAAAATATAACTAATTTTATGTAATCCAATAAAATCTTATTTTATTGTACCAAAAAAAATATGTTATATTAATTATCAGTATTTTTTGTAACATTTAAAAAAATATTGTACTTGATTTATCATTACGTCCTTTTTTGGCCACCATTAACACAGTAAGATATTGTTTATTTTCTTTTGATTTGGGTCATTGGTAATTTTCATTATTTGAGATAGTGGGGGATCATAAAATTATGTAACTTATGGTAAAAAGTTTTAGTTTTAAGTTAAAAAAAATATAATGACATGCCTTTTCTACTAAGATGAATGCTCAATGGCGATGGTGGAATCATTTTTCCCTCGGTTTGATTAATTTTAAATTTAATTAATTAATTTTATTTTTATTAATTGAATCAAAATATTAATTTTAAAAATTAATCAATCAAATTTAATTTAATCAGTTAAGTAATTTCTCGATTAATTGAATAATAAATACATTTAAGTTAAATTATATTTTAAACTCTTAAGTTTTCATATTTTAAACAAATTAAATAAAATTATTTAATAAAATATTCAAATACCAATGTATTATATTAAAACTTCTAACAACTTATAAAATAAAATAATTTATTTCATGTATTTTTTTATTTTAATTTTATTATATTTTGGCTAAAATTTTGGTTAATTCAATTTTTGAACTACACTAACCAAAAATCAAAATTTTTCCAAAATTATTTTTATTAACCAATCGAAATTAATTTAATGATCGACTGATTAACCAAATTAAATTGATTTAGTCAATTAATTTGCTTAACATCGAATCATAAAACTCCTCCTACCAATCCTCATTTATACATTAATAGTGTCTATCGGACCTGACAATTTATGTTTTCATATTGTGTTTGACACGTGTAATGATATAAATTATTAAAATACGAATACGACATAAATTATAAAACGTACTTAAATCCTAAACATAAACACAACATATTTTTTATACTTGTTACAGTGACACAATATGACTAACACATGTATAATTAATTCATTTAAATATGACACAAACAAACATAAATAATATGAATATATACGAAAAGACATGACTAATATAAATATATAAGAATAAATACGAGTAACACGAATATATATATATATATAAACAATGCTAAAATAATAGACAATTATAAATTTTTTATTATTACAACTTAATAGACTTTGCATATTAATAATATAAAAAAGTATTCACATATTAAAAAGTATAAAAAAATTTTATACTCAATTAATATACATTTAGGTCATATTTAATGTATAAAATGATGAATAAGATAGTATGATAATCATTTTATATTATCTTTGATTTGTATTTAATTGAAAGGGATAGGATTACGAAAAAAATTATTATCCTCTTAGTATAAAATAATTCAATCCTTTAAAGTCTGGCATAATAAAAAGTATAAAAAAAATTTGATACCCATTTAATATACATTTAGGTCAAGTTTAGTGTATAGGATGATAGATAAAATAGTGTGATAATTATTTTATATTATACTTAGTTTGTATCTAATTAAAAAGGATAATATTACAAGAAAGATTATTATCATCTTGGTATAAGATTATTTGATCCTCCTAAAGTGAAGTAGATTATTTTTAATTTATGATATTAAATTTATATGTTCTATTATACCTTTAAAAATTACATTAATAATTTAAAATTGTATAAAATTTAAGAAAATAATTTTGACCAATAAATAAATTATTGTATCTTAATCCTTGCACACATTAAATATATGATAGAATGGCATTATATAATTTAATTTTATTTATAATATCATCTTATTTTATTATATTATAATCTTATGTACCAAATATGAACTTAATATATATATATATAAATTTTAATATATATATTACATAACTATATTAGTTTTTAGTATCAAATTCAAAATAATAAATTATTAAAGATTAAAAAAACAAGATTATGATATATCAGACTAATATTATTATTTATATTGTATTTATATTATTAATATAAAAATAATTTTATAATAATTATTAAATGAGTATCATAATTAAATATTTAAAATAATTTTTGTATGGGATTGAATAACTAATTATGTATCATAATTAAAAATTAAAATAATTTTTAAATATTTATATTAAATTAAAATAAATATAAAAATATATTAAACATATTAAATACGTTAAATATATATTTATATGATAAAATTAAATTAAATGTATTTTTTATATTGTGTAACATGTTAGACGTATATTCATATAATATTCATATAATATATTTTATATAAATATGATTTTCATGTCTTATATATATTTAAATATATCAATATATATATTATAAATTATATCATATCGACATAAATAAATATAAAATATTTTTTAAAATATATTTATAATTTTTTAAAAATTATTTTATATTATATTATCGTGCATTAAGAAATATCATATCCATTATAAAAGCGTTTACTGACATGGGCTTTAAAAAATTAAAACCTTGAAATTTGGCGGCCCTTCCAAAATGTACGGTTTTGATTATTCAAAAGCACGGGACATGTAAGTCCTTGTCACATCCAAACATTGAAAGAAACACAAAGGTAGTCTAGGTATTCTACTACTCCACATTTATTGCGTTTCTAGTAGCTGTGATGAACCACATGTAAACCCAACACAAGATATTAAAAACCAAATCGATAATAGGTCAATATTTGATAAAAACAAATATAGATCGACACGTGGAAAAAAGTATGCTTTCGGTCGCATACTATCATGTCTCATGCTTCCCTTCGTGTGTGCGACGAAAGAGTTACCATTATGGGGTGTATAATTAGCTGATTTATAAGTTGTCTGTCACATTTTATTTTAATTCGAGGGATTAAATAATTTATTTATTTTTAAATTTTTTTATTAAAAAAAAATAATTAGTTGATTTCTTTCCCTTTTTAATATACAAATTTATAAATTATAAAAATAAAAGCACTCTTCCAAACATTTTTTTCTCTATAAAATGACCTTTCACAGCAAAAAAAAAAAAAAAAAAAACTACTGAATTAGGGTTTCGAATTTTCGATCTCGTCTCCTACAATTAGTTGATTTTTAGGTTGTCAAGTACATTTTACTTTGATTTGAAAGACTGAACAATCTATCTATCTTTGAATTTTTGTATCAAAAAAAATAATTAGTTGATTTCTTTCCCTCATTAATATACAAAATTATAAATTACAAAAATAAATGCACTCTTCCAAACACTCTTTTTTTTCTCTATAAAATGACCTTTCACAACAAAAAAAAAAAAATTGAATTAGGGTTTCAAATTTTCGATCTCATCCCCCGTAATTAGTAAATTTCTAGGTTATCAAGTATATTTTACTCTAATTTTAAAGACTGAATAATTTATTTTTGAATTTTTTTATCAAAAAAAATAATTAACTTATTTCTTTCCCTTCTTAATATACAAAATTATAAATTACAAAAATAAAGGCACTTTTCCGAACACTCTTTTTTTTTTCTCTATAAAATGGCCTTTCACAGAAAAAAAAAAAAATTGAATTAGGGTTTTGAATTTTCGATCTCGTCATGATGATTCAACAGCATGGGACATGTAAGTCCTTGTCGCATCCAAACATTGAAAGAAACACAAGGGTAGTTTTGGTATTCTACTACTCCACCACATTTATTGTGTTTTAGTAGCCGTGATCAACCACGTGTAAACCCAACACAAGATATTAAAAACCAAACCGATAATAGGTCAATATTTGATAAAAACAAATATAGATCGACACGTGGAAAAAAGTATGGTTTCAACCGCATACTATCATGTCTCATGCTTCCTTTTGTGCGTGTGACAGAAGAGTTACCTAATGGGGTGTGCAATTAGTTGATTTATAAGTTGTCAGTCACATTTTATTTTGATTTGAGGATTGATCAATTTATTTATTTTTAAATTTTTTTATTAAAAAAAATAATTAGTTGATTTCTTTCCCTCTTCAATATATAAATTTATAAATTACAAAAATAAAGGCACTCTTCCAAACAATTTTTTTCTCTATAAAATGATTTTTTACAGTAAAAAAAAAAAAACTGAATTAGGGTTTTGAATTTTAGATCTCGTCCCTCGCAATTAGTTGATTTTTAAGTTGTCAGGTACATTATATTCTGATTTAAAAGATTAAATAATTTATTTATTTTTAAATTTTTTTATCAAAAAAAATAATTAGCTAATTTCTTTCTCTCCTTAATATACAAAATTATAAATTACAAAAATAAAGGCATTCTTCCAAACACTCTTTTTTTTTTCTCTATAAAATGGCCTTTCACAGTAAAAAAAAAAAAAAGTGAATTAAGGTTTCGAATTTTCGATCTCGTCTCTCGTAATTAGTTGATTTCTAGGTTGTCAGATATATTTTACTCTAATTTAAAATACCGAACAATCTATCTCTAAATTTTTTTGTCAAAAAAAAATAATTAACTGATTTCTTTCCCTCCTTAATATACAAAATTATAAATTAAAAAAATAAAGGTACTCTTTCGAACACTCTTTTTTATCTATAAAATGACCTTTCACAATAAAAACAAAGAAAAAATAACTGAATTAGGGTTTCGAATTTTCGATCTCGTCCCCTCCCCTGAACCCCGAAAAAAGAAAAGAATTTTACTTTTTCTATTGTTCGAGTAGCATGGCTTGAACTTGATATTATTGTTATAATTATTATTATAACACTCCTGGATGGCTAATCCTAAATAGAATCACATACGGTTTCTCGCTCTAACTTTTTATCAGGCTTCTCTCTCTAAAAAATTGGTTCCCTATATATGTGTTGGGCTAGTCCTTTTTGGGGATCTTCCTGTAGACGACACTTCGATCCCCAAGCGACTGAAACCAAACCAGGTTTTTCTTCTTTTTTTCCCTTGTTTTAATTAAACAAAAGTATGATGGGAGGAATTTTGTTTTGTTTTGTTTTTTTTTTCTATGAATGATCTTTTGATTTGATTGTCGGTTTCTGATCGGAGTTCTTTTCTTTTTATTGTTTTTCTCTATCATTTACTAAATTAGCTTCATATGCAATTCTTTGATTATTATTATATCGAACATTTTAAGTCTGTGTTTGGTTGCCCGGAAAATTCTCTCCACTGGAAAAGTGAGGGAAAAGTGAGGTCTTACTGTTTGCTTCAGAGAGAAGGGTTGTCGGTAAAAAAAGAAAAAAAGGCAAATAAGTATCACTGTAGTAAAAAAGGTTTGAACTTTTCTTTTGCTTTCTTTTCCAGTTTCTCTGTGGCCCTTAGGTTAATTTTGACTTGCGAAATTGTTTTCAATTTTGCTCATTATTCGTTTTGTGCTTTCTTTTTCGCGCAAATTCTCATTGCATCCATGTATTTTTATGATTTATGCATTTCTTTATTTTTAATGATGGGATTGGGGATTTTTTTTTTTTTTTTACCGGAAGCGAATAAAAGGAAGGGAAGGGACTCTTGGTTTTGAAGCCAGGACTTGATGCTATAGTGGGCCTGTTACAACAAGGCTGTGGGGTACTGGTTCTTTTGGACACAGCAGAATTGGGACTTCCGACTTTAAAGAATAAGAAATCACCCCATAATAGTTTTAAGTGAATCTTTTTGAAGCATAAGCAGTTTATTGTATCCTTCTAATTTAGTTTCTTTGAGTTTATAGTGTTTTCTTGCCTTTTTAGTACTGAAACAAAGACTAAAGTAAGGAGTTTGATACTTGCTGTGTGATAAGTCTAGCATGTTGTAGACAGGATTTTAAATAAATAAGCCGGCATAGCTTGTTTCTGTTTTGCCTTTGTCCCCTGGAGCAGTTGAATATTTTGTTCGTTTCACAATGAAAGCAATATGTATCAATTAATTGAATCTTAATATTATTCTGAAGTTGTAATACATTTGGCGGTTAGCCTTAATATTCGTTTCACAGCTACATATTAGAGCATCTCAAAACTTCAATGCATACATGAATAGCATAAGCTCATGTAACTTTTATTTTTTCCAATTTTAATCAGTCTTTGGAGCCTTCTGATATGCAACTCTTTAAGTTCTTACTTAAATATTTTCCTTGGAACTATATGCTGAGGAAACAATCTTGTTGTTTAGATTCTTCTTTGTGATGCAATGGATATTGAACAAGTTGAAGATCCAACAGCAGTTTTGATTGGTTATGAGAAAACTGGCATGGATAGCAAAGGAAAGACTAAAATATGCCATGACAAGAAGTGGGAAGACCATGTAAAGGTATGTGCTTACGATTTTAAAAAGCAATTACATGCTACCTTAACTCAGATTTTTATTTATCCATCATCAACTGGCCTTTAATTGAATTCCTTCCCCTTTTTTCAGGATGCTTCTTCCAGTTATCAGGGAAATTCCGTTAGTGTAGCAGGATCTGAGGACAGTAACAATCCTCTCAAGAGTTCTACTGCAGGATCAATCAATTCAAATAATCTCAATAGTTCCAACTCTGACTCGTCATATCATGATGATGACGAGGATTGTGATGACGACTATGAGGACTATGCCGATGATGTTTCTGATTGTGGTGAAAATCATGATTTCTTATATGAAGATGATTATTCTATTATGCAATCCCATTTTGATAATGTGGATCTTCCTCCTGGGGTGGAGGCTTCAATTCCATGGTTGAAAGACCCTGCTCCTATTGGAAATGTGCCTCCAGTCCTGGCTGCTTCAGCTGCCCCTTCTCCAGCTGAAAGCAAGAAGGCAACATCAAATTTGGCTGATAGTAAAGTGAAGTCAGCTTCTACCAGTATTTCAATGGTCCCAAGGGAGTCAGCGTCTCATCAGAAAGAAGAAAATGAAGAACATGGAGTTATGCAAAGATATCAAAGTTTCAGACATTTTGATGTTGTGGATGATTTCTCAGACCATCATTACAGCAATTTGACCTCATCAGGAGAGAAGGTGAGGATGATTCTTGTTTCTTTATCATGCTAAATTTGTCATTATTCATATAATATATTAATATGAATTTTGCACTTTCTATTGATAGCAACCAAAGGAGTGGGCCAAGCGAATTCAAGACGAGTGGAAAATTCTGGAGAAGGATATACCAGGTTAGTTCTGATTTATGAATATGTTTTCTGGAATATAGTGCCATTGTGACATTACCTGATAAGTAGTTTTAAGTATCGAAGGTCCTTTTTTCTTGGGGGGGGGTCATGGAATTACTTTTATCAAGCATTAACTACTGTCATACAATTATATGCACATTCCTCACCTGAGTAACATTTTTAACATTATGCATGTCAAACTATGTAGGACAGCAGCAATGATTTCTGACTTGTAGCTTCTTATTTTTCCCTTCTCTTCTAAAAATGCATTCTACGATTTTAAAGTATGAAAATTACTGTTCTTTGTTTCTTATCTCCTGGCATTATTTTGTTTAAATGGCTCATGTTCCCTCTCTCTCTTCTTTCACAGAACTAATATACGTGAGAGTTTATGAAGCAAGGATGGATCTTTTAAGGGCTGTCATTATAGGACCCTCTGGTACTCCATATCATGATGGCCTTTTTGTCTTTGATTGTTTATTCCCTCCAAAATATCCCAATGAGCCTCCGGTATGTTCAGTGTTTGTGTGTCTGTGTTTCCCAAAAAATGCCCATATTAGAGTATTCTAATGTATAAACTTATTTTAATCATGTTTAATGGATATATGGAATTTCTTATCAGATGGTTTATTACTATTCTGGTGGCCTCCGGTTAAATCCAAATTTGTATGACTGTGGTAAAGTATGCCTAAGTCTTTTGGGCACCTGGCATGGTCAACAGACTGAAATGTGGGTTCCAGGGAAATCAACTATGCTGCAAGTTTTGGTTTCCATACAAGCTCTGATACTGAATGCTAGACCCTTCTTTAACGAGCCTGGGTATGAAACTTCGTATGTTGGGGCTGAGGGTGACAGGAGGTCCAGGAAGTACAATGAGGAAGTATTTATTCTATCCTTAAAGACAATGATTTACACACTAAGAAGACCACCGAAGGTATCTTTGGTTATCTAATTTATCGTTTATTCTTTTGTCTTTTCCTTTTATGAATTTTTTTTTCCTAGTTAAGCTGCCCTAAAATATGGTTGCCACAAGAATATATTGTTGTATTTGTATGGGATTCTCTTGTCATTCCTTTTCATGTAGTTTGTATGCTGATGATAGACCTCTTTGTTTCATTCATGCATTGACACAATTTGACTATCCCCTCTTTTCTGTATTACGATTTGCCAATGAGCACAAGTGAAACAAAGTAATTACCCTATTGGCTATGTTCTCAGCCTTTTGTCAGACATGCTTGTCAAATATGATTGTTTTCCTCTCCTTTTTGTGCTGTCATCACTCTCAAGGTTTTCTTTCTATGCAGAGTTAGAAGAACAGATTCATGTATCCATACAGATATGGGAATTGATAGGGGCATAGTGTTCTGTAAATTACTAAACTTTACAATTTTATATCCTGGTCTAATAAGCTGTGTTTTTCTCTACAGCACTTTGAGGACTTTGTTGCTGGTCATTTTCGCAACCGTGCACGTGACATTATTGTGGCATGTAAGGCATATAAAGAGGGTGCTGCAGTAGGGTCTGTTGTAGTTAAAGACGGTGTTCCAGATACTAATAAAATCGAAAAGGGTAGCTCTGAGGCATTTAAAGGAACAATGTCAAAGATGATTAATGCAGTGGTCAAAGAGTTTGTGAAGAATGGGTCAACAGACTGTGAGCAGTTTCAGAATTGTGGCAGTTGATACCATTTGGAGTTGGTTGGACGTGAAGCGAAGGTTGGGATGGATTGTGAAGCCATTATGGAAAGCTAATGTTGATCATTTTTAGCTTGTCTTCCAAATGCTTTAGTGAACGCATTTTTAATAAACTTAGTTACATTATTACTACTTCTTACCGTATATATAAGCTGCTTGGGATTCTATATAGGTTTAACTATGTATAGTGGAATGGCTCGGAATGATTCAAAGAGTTTAAACATGGTTCTTTTCCGGTCTTAAGAGTAATAATTTCTGTCTTTCCAGTCAACATGGTTAGGTAAATTGTATGTCGTTTGCAGCATATGCATCAGCATTTCCAAAATCTCGTCTCACTCCTGGCCCTTAGCGGTTAATTGTGGGCTAAATTTGTTGTTTTAAAAGCCATTTACACCTAAATTTAACAGAAGAAAACACAATTGTAATATGTATAGCTTGAGGCAATTTTAAACAAAAGGATTCCAACTCTAGTATATCATAACAGATTAACATTTGACTCCACTTTGTTATTTTGATTCAAGGGTAAAAAAATTAGTGCAACGCTTGTGTAACTGGATTTCTCGACTGCAATAGTATACACCAGGATTCCTCTATTGAAATAGTATCAGAGAATGGACAAAAAATGAAATATTTTAATATTAAAAATATGAAATTAAGAATACATATGATTTCTTTATTTTAAAAATCCACTTATTTTGAGAGAAAAAAAAAATCTAATCTCGAAATAATTGTTACGGTGAAACTCGTAATGGCCATTCCTTGTTCTCAGGACTAGCTGATTTTGTGAAATCAATTTTTTGAGAGAAAAAAAAAAAAAAAAAAAGAAGCAAACTATTGAATGCCCACTCTAGAGGCGGAAAAAATTAAAAAAAAAAAAATTAAAAATTGATTTAAAGTCGTAAAGTTTGAATCAATTCAGATTAATTTTTTTATTTAGTTTAGATTAAATTTAAATATTAAATTTATATTTAAATTTAAATCAAATTTTGAATCAAAAAATAAAAAAATAAAAAAAATTAAATCGAATTGAATTGTATATTTTTATTAATTTTTTATATATTTTAAATTTTTATTAAATAAAAATAATTATTTTATACTTGAATCCATTTGAATATATTAAAAATTATCTTAAATAATATATAAAAAATAAAATATTTAAATTTAAAAAACTGCTAAATCAAATCAAATTAATAAAATTCAATTCAATTCAAATCAAATTATATAAAAATTTAATTTAAATTCAAAAAGTTTATATATTATTTAAAAAGATCGAACTAAATTAGATTCGTAACCCCTCACTCATACGACCCAAAAAGAAACCTGAATGAAATGACTTTTACAGCCAAACAACCATGCGGTCAGCTCATGCAGTAAATGAGATGCCCATACCGTAGCATCGGGGCTTTAAGTTTGCAACTGAATTTCCCTTCTGGCCAACAAAAATGCATGGCACTGAAAAATACTAGGATGAACTGAAGGTACAAATAGATCTGTACCATGAGCTGTTAATCAAGAAACTAACAGCCGTTTCTGCGGACTGAGGTTTTGGAGAGTCTTTAAAAACTTTGCAGTGAATGTGTTGCTACTTACTAGTGTTTAATTACCAAATTCAACAGCATCACCAAAAGTACGAGGATAAACAGGGTAACAGCACAAGGTAATGATGCAATTAACCCAAATAAAACAACACTTTCAAGCAGACGTTGCATTTGGAGGTAACATACAAATACTCATATCCCTCCCAGGATATACACAAGAACACACCCTTTTATTCAAATAATATTCAAGGTCGATTCAAGTATGCAATGGCCTTCACCATCCTCCTCTCTGAGAACCACCAGAGGAATGCACATTCAACCTATCAAGCACAGCATGACAATCCACCGTCTGACCACTCTCCTCCATCCTCTGAATCACACTGGCTACATGATCACCCCTGAAACCCATGCTCACTAATTTTTCAATCAGATCACTGTAGGGATGGTTGCGAACAAACTGTGAATGGCTAGTGTTCCTAATCATAGCATTAGGGCCAGTGCCAGGTTGAGGAGTCTGGAGAGAGACATTTGCAGGGGGATACCCACCCTGTGAGAAGTGAGGCTGTTGGGGTGCATGATGCATTCTACCCCCTTCACTATCATAAATCATGCATGCACTTCCTGGAGGAAGTGGGGGATGAGAGCCAGGAGCCATGTAACCATCAGCTGGTTGTGCTCCAAAAGTGCCCTTGATTTGCTGAGGAGGTTGCTGAGCAGCTGTTCTGCCAGGCACTCCATACCCATAGGGAATGGTATCAGCACGGTTAGATACAGTTTGAGGAACTCCAGAATATGGAACTTGCATAGGCAAGCTATTTGGTAATGCCTCTTGCGGAGATGGGTTTGTTGCTTGTGTAGGAGGATAGGGAGGGTAAGCTGGTGTTGATGCGGGCCTCATCTGTGGTTGCATAGAGGACTGCTGTTGCTGTGGTACTTGCTGTGGTAATTGTTGTGGCCATTGTTGCTGATACTGAGGGAATGATTGGACAGGTGGTACCTGATTTACTTGGGACTGTGTAGGCTGTGGTGGCATCCTAGAGATGTCTTGTATCTGAGTTCGGTATTGAGGATCAGAAGGTAAATACCGACTCTGAGGGTGTTGGGTTGGTGGTGGAGCTGGGGCTGGGGTGGGAAATGGAGGTGGGACAGGGCCAGGGGCTGGGACTGGAGCAGGAGCTGGGGCTTGGGGGTTGGGTAATTGGTTTGAAGGTATATAGTAGGATTGTTGGGTCAAATTCTGAGGTGGGGCTTGAGAGTGTGGCGCCACAGGCTGTTGTGGTGGTGCTACTTGATGAGGCAGGGCAAGAGCTAATTGCTGGTTTTGCATCTCAGATGTGTGGTCAGTTTTTTTAGAATCAGAGGCAGGTGGTGATGCTCTCTCCTCAGTGGATTGTGAATGGCTGGAAGAAGAAGAAGACTCCTTTTGCACAAGTTGTAATTTAGCCAATTCCTTCTGAGTCTCAGCTAGCTCCTGCTTATCTCTTAGGATCTGCACAGACCTGTGGACCTACAATGTGCATTGAATACTTAAGAAATAAATTTCTAGAATGAAATGGAATGGTTCCAACACATGATTATCAAGGCATCTATAATCAGCAAGAGAAAAAGTAATAAGCAAGGTAATGGGATTGAAGCCCAGCTGGAACAAAGTCTGAGCACAATTCTCTAATACACATCTAGTCCTTAAATGGGCCATAAAAATAGATCTAGAATGTAATTTCAGAGTGGTTTCTCTCCAGGGTATTTGACCATGAGAACTTAGAAAACATGCAGATTCATGCAGAATGAACCTGCTTCAGAGCCCAAAAATCCATGTTCTTGTCCCAAGAAACATTTTTATGAAGCAAATTTTAATGTCAACAGCAGAAACTGAAATTTAAATCCCTTTAATATAACAGCTGGAATACAATAAAATACCAGCTCTTTTTCTGATCCATATTTAATGTACTTTTCATGCATGCTATCGCTCTATTTTATTCGTCCCTTCATAGGAAAAGATAAATAGCTGTTTACTGTAAGGTAAAATAAAGACCATAAAAGCATCTCAAGGCTTCAAAGGAGAAAAAAAAAAAAAGAACCCTCAAAAGTCAGGATTGGTGCTATAAATGTGGTGCATATAGCCAACTAATTGATGAAAATCCACCTTATCTGAAAATGTAGGATGTTCCAGGGGTACTTACCTCTTGGAGATGTTTCTCAATAGATTTAAGCTTTAAATCTGCATCTCCATGATCACGAACTAAATCAGAACGCATTTCTCCAATTGATTTATCAAGATTGTAGCAATATAACTCCAACTGTGACAGTCGTGAACTTATTCCCTCAAGAAAGCGCATGAGGTTGTCTGCATATTTTTTCATGGTTTTTTCAACAGTAGCAGTCAAGTCCAAGGAGAATGAATCATCTGGCTGGCTGTATGCATTAGGTGGAAATATTGATCGTGCCATTCTGCCTTTGTGAAAATCCTGCAGAGGTCAATATGACAACATGATTGACTATTTACTCTTGAATCAAAAGGCACAATAAATGCCACTGGCTTGGCAACACAGTGGGCAAAAAAATGAAAAAAAAAATTGCAACTCATTTTCCCCAGAATAAATGGAATATTCAAAGCAACCTCAAAGACAATATTTTCCTGTTATTCTATAACATCATAAAGAAAATCATCAAAGGCACAATCCAATAACACACCAGGATTGAATAACCATTAACTATGAGAACTGTTAGGGTCTAAAATTCAGTTTGTGGAACTCCGATGAAACTGCATGTGACCTTTTCTAGGTTTGGTCACTGTTTCTCTAAGGAACAACAAAAACAAATGCTTAGGATCAAGGATTGAAATGCAATAAAGGTATATTCTACTATGGGCACATAAAGATCCTAAAATGGTGGATTTGACCTCCCTCTCCACCAACAGCCACAAAACCAAATATCCATTGCTGATTTTTCATTAACTCTTGCATGTGATTAAGGTAAGAGTATTTATTTGATTAAAAAAAAGGGTAATTCGCTTTTGATCAAAATTCATTCTCCCAAATTCAAACTTAAAAATGCCACAAACATACTAAATGAAAATGTTATATAACTAGTAATATAAATGACTGTGTACAAAAATGTTTCTCTCCGTTCCATTTAGACTGAACTTCAGCCAACACAAGGTTTTACTTTCAGAAACTATGAAACAATTATTCATTTTATTGTGCCCCCTTGTAAAAGGGTGTAAGCAATGCCATAGAACCAATGTTTTCTTTTTTCTGAAAAAAAAGGGAGGGAGTACAGCAATGAAATTATGGAAACCCTAAACTTTCTCAATTCCATAAACATGTAAAAGCCTAGTACTCTGATAAAATTATAAAAATTGGCTAACTCCATCTCAAATTAATCTTTCTAAAAACAACGAAAAACCAAACAACCCCGCCCAAAAAAATCAGCTCAAAAAATCTAGAATGTGAATATTCATTTCTATACATTCAAATCTTCCGGTACAATTACAAATATTTTCAATAAAAATAAGTTATAGGTCTTCTCACAACTATACCCCCCCCCCCCCAAAAAAAAAAAGAGGAAGAAATGGATAATTCTAACCTTTACTAATTTAAGGTCAACAATAGAACAAATAGATCTCCAAATTAAAATTAAAAAAAAAAACCAAACCAAACCAAAATTTGCCACAAAACAAAGCTCTTTTACATTGTTAAGCCTTTCTTGTTGTCATATCAACCTCTCGATTAAACCCTAATCAGATCAAATGTCCCCCCCCCCCCCCCCAACAAAAAAAAAAGGAAAAGCTACAAATAAAAAGCGACAACAGATACCTTGGTAGAGCTGTTGGTACCGATTACCGGTTCGGCGTGGCTACCATTAGACGATTCCTGGTTCCCGTAGTCCTCATACGAGCAAAGAATATCATCGGACCCAAAATCGAACCCTTTGGAACCACCCGAGTTGCCCCGACCCGATGATCCAGATGCCATTTTCCCAAAAACAGACTTACTACAGATCGAAGTACGTCAAGATATTCGCCCTTTATTTCTATTTCAGAAAGAGAAAAATAAGTAAAACGAAAACGATGGGAGACAACTGCTTAAGCTTTAACTAGCTTGTCTGCAAAGGAAAGAAAAGCAAAGTTTCTTTGTAATTTTTCTTTCTCCTTTTTTTTTTTTTTATATATAATTTAAAATGCAACAGACAGAGGTGCGAGAGTCTGAGAAACGTTTTCAAAATGGGAATTTTGTGTTGGAATTAGATAAGGATATCCTTCACTTCACCGACCTTTTCCTCTTTTTGCACATTTAGCCCTCCGTTTTGTTTCTATTCTCATTTTTTTATATTATCTTTTGCATTTTTATGTATGATGCTTTATTATTAATTTCTTTCAACGCATCCAAAAAAAAAAAAACTTTCAATCTCCGACTCCAATCACACGCACAAAAAAATATAACCAAAATGTATACTTTTTTCGTAATTGATTGACAGGAATTTTTAATTTCACTTTATTTAAATGAAATAATAGAAGTATTGATAAAAGTATATTTTAAAAAGTCACTAAAATTATATATTTTTAAAAATATTTATCAAAATAAAATATCAAGTGATTTATCGATAAAATATTAAATTTTACATTTTAATGATATATACTTAAATATAAAAAAGTAATGCAATAGTCTAAAATAATAAAACATTGCTATGAGATCATCAAAATATTAAATTTCAAGTCTCTTATAAAAGAAATATTAACAACTGATCAAACATTAATAAGGTATTTATTATTTTTAATAATAAATATGATAAACTTTATTTTACCAAAAAGTATTTAAATTAATGATTTATCACATCTTGAAAAAGAAAAAATGAACCCACCATTAGGAGATGAAATTTTGTGCTTATATTGTCTATACTTTATAGTCAATTTCGAATACACATTATCTTAATACATTTTAACAAAGATTGTAAATCCTTTATGAATTAGACTTTAGTTAATTTCGTTAGTTTCAACTAATTCAACTACTTAAAATTAATGAAATTTGCTAGTAAAAATCATTTATTATACCTTTTTTCAATAACCATTTTTTTTATTTATAAATTTTCGAGCACACGCTTTTTCTTTATATGACTATCCATGAATTAATTTGAGCTTAATTGAAAATTTTAAAATTTAAATTTAAATTCGATCAATTATTTTATATATGTCTATTAAAAAAATACTTTTATAATTAAAATTAAATAAAAATATATTATTTATTATTACTATTATAAAAATCCTCTGATTCGAATCATAAAATTTATGCTCATAGTCAAATCCATATACATGACAGATAACTTGATCCTTAATTTCAACATCCGTATCCTGTAGTATGCAATTTCTTTCTCTTGGCCTCAGATACCAAGGAGAAGCACGTGGATTGTATTTCACAAGGTCAAAGTTTGAGGCTACAAATGAGAGTGTGAAGCATGTGAACCATGCGAAACTACCTAAGTTTCAAGATTTGATTAATAATCTTACAACTTTGAAAGTAGACGATGGTATTTTAATTATCGGATATAAGAAACAAATAAAGTCTTGTTTAGTATTGCGTTTGAGTTCAAAATACATCTTTTGAACGTAATAGCAATGCTAAACTTATTATAATTTGGGTTTAAAATATTTTTTGATCATTAAAATTAAACTAATTGCAAAAGCTAATTGAGTGATATAGTTATTATTTGAAATTTATGGTTTTGAAGATAAAATGATCAAATATCTACTCTATTATTTATTTCTGACAAAAATAATCTGTTTGTTCTTTCTAGCATCATGTTCATTTGAAACATTTTAATTTTTCACAATAAATTTTTATAATATTTTTCGAACCCATATTTTTCAAACCAAGATTTTTTCAACTACAATAGCATTATTAAACTAAGTCTAAAATAGAATATAAAAATTATTGACCATCTAATTAATGTATGCTTCCTTTGGTTTTAAGTGTTTACTTGCATATATTAGAACTGTTTAAGGGTCAAACTATCCGCTCAAATTTAAAGATTTATCTAAATTTTAAGAGAGTTTGAACAAAAAATTAAAACTTATTAAACTGGTTTTGACATAATTTTTAAACTCATTTAAATTTTGAACCTAGACTTAGATAAAAGATTTAAAGCCTGAACCCAACCCGACCCAAATTCACATATTTATAAAAATTTTTTATTTTTATATATATCTGAATTATATATAAATTAATTTACATATATATATATATATAAATAAATAAATAATATATATTTTTATTAAACTTAATTTTTACTTTTATATAATTTTTATTTTTAATTTTTATATTATAATTTTTATTTTTTATATACATGCGAATTGAATATAATCCCATTAAACTTAATTTAATTACATTTTTTAATTTTTTATTATCTAAATTATGTTTAATAAATGGGTTTGATATTTATTTTTTTAATTTAGGCTGGCCTTGAAAAACTTTGAGACTCAAAATTTTTCATCGAATTAGGTTTGGGTAAGCATATATAAGTTATTAATATAAAAAATGAGTCTGACTTGAACTTGGCCTGACTTAACCATAAGCACCTCTACACAAAATCTTCACCTTGACCTTTCTTTTTTAAAAAAAAAATCTTACATTGAATAAAATACATAATCAAATAGAAGTACTTTGTAAGTACAACATTAGCCTAATTATATATTTTAATCAAATTAATCATAAAGTTAGGTCAAATTATGTTATTAATCTTTGTACAATAGAAAAATACGAATTTTCTATATTTTCTATATATCAATTGAAAATTTTGAGTTTTATATTTTTTATATTTTAAATTTTAGTTCAATTATTAACAAAATTTATTTTTCATCATTAGCTTTACTTACGTATGCATTAATCATAGCATATGCATTAATCATGTTGATGTGACAAAGGCAAATATTAAATTGTTTAGGTAACAATTGATGTGAAAATTTTTTATTCACTTGGCTTTCTTAGTTTTTTCCTCCAAAAATGAATTGGCTTTTAATTCTTCAAATTGTGTTTCCTTTCTTCGTATTCTTTTCAAAAAAAAAAAAATGACAACCTTTTTACTTATTTGCTTCTGTTTTATCTCATTTCATATGACACCATTGTTCTCAACCAAATCCTCATCTTCCTCTCTTCATCTCTTTTTCTCAAGACTTCAAAGGTTGTCGTTGATTAAACTCAAATATTGAACACAAAATAAAAAAAAAGAAGGAAAAAAAAGATGACCCTTGTTTTCTTAAGCCCTCTATCACCATACCACCACCTATGTGCTCTTTCACAACCACCATTATGAACCATCATTTTCTAACAACTACCATATCACTATCAAATGATAAAACAAGAAAACTCATACAAAAATAATCTTTGTTACATTTTACTTGAAAACCTATCCATCTTCAATCAATAACCACCACCACAACCATATCACAATCACTAGAACTTGAAACCTAAAAAAACTAAAGCACATTTGCATAAAAAAACATAAAAAAACAAACAATAACAATAAAAAAACCATAGTAGACATAAAAATTCCACAATAAGAGAGTAAAGCTTTAAGGTTTCAGTTTAAGGAATTTAATGAGGTTTTCAAGTGAGAAACAAGAAAGAATAAAAAAAAAAAGATAAAAAGAAAAGAAATAAGAAAGCTTGTCAATAGCGGTTCACGACGACAAGAGGATTTAAAAGAAACCAAGCATAAATTTATGTACATATATTTTTTATTATTTGATATATTAGTTTAATTTTTTGTAATTTTCCTCAATTTTTATAATTTAATTTATTTCTTATATTTGTTTAAGATTTTTTTTTAAAATTGTTTATTTTATATGTTAAAATAATTTTAATTGTTTGTTAAAAAATCTAATATTTATCGTGCAAATTTGATTAGCTCGATAACATTTTTTCATTAAGTTGGAGATATCGTGCATAAGGTTTATGAAAGTATTATACTTACTCTATTTTGAAAATGTTGAGATTTTTGAAATGTTTTCAAAATATAATGAAAGAATGAATGGTTACCGATTAAATATGATGTATTAATCCATAAAATAAAAAACTAGTGATTAAAAAACTACACAGTAAGTTTGAAAAGGTTTTAATGAAAGAAATAGATCTAAGACATAAAAATCAATTAAAAAAGCTTAATTCTAGTATAAGGCATCAAATGTCTATGCATGGTGATTCAAATTTCATTGAAAAATAACTTCTGTTTCAATTTTAGATTTTAACATTTGGATGCCTGACTTAAGGTTTTCAAAGGCCATGCTTGAAAAATCCTTTGGTATAATTTTATACTAAGGCATTTGAATACCGTGACTTAAAAAAGTGAACTAGACAAAATTACAAAGGAAGATTCAAATGCCTTTGTATAGCATTCGAATTTTCGTAGTTTAAATTTGACAGCTTTTAGCTAATGACTAATTTCGTTTCAAATGAACTTTAACATTTTATAATGTGTTCTTTCACTTGTAAAAGGTTGTAAATGGCACTTATTGAGTTATAGAATATGTGAACTTAATGAAAAGACAAAGTGGTTGAATTAATTAACACAATTAATTAAGTCCATATCACATACAATTATTGTATTACAATTAATTAATCGTAATTTAAAATTGTATAAAATCCATCAAAATTTTATATGAAGCCTACGAGTATAAGTGGTGGACCCCTACATAATTCTTTATTGTTACTAGATAATTGTAGGATTATAGTAAAAAAAATTGTAGGTGAATTGCTCTTTAATTAAAGAGTCATATACAACTCTTGAATTTGATATCTATAAATAAAGATATCAAAATTCATTCCAACACCAAACACTAGAATAATAAGAACTTACTTTTTTTTTATTCTCATTCTTAAATTAAGATCAAGTATCTTAGATATTATTTGCTATAGAAAATCAAAAGTGTTTAATGATTTGATTTTTATAAATGCAAAGTGTTATAAAATAATGTTTTATTATATCTTAAAGCTATTCAATCTAACCATTATTGTATATTGTAATTGATAGGGGTGAAATAAACTTACAAAAAAGTGATATTTATTGCATGCCTTGACATCATTTTTTTTTACATTTACTTCTTTATCTTATACCCATTACAACTCAAACAGTAATAATAATGTGGAACAAGATGAAACAAAAAGCCCATACTTAAACACTTTTCTAATTAAGACTTCTCAATAATTAAATAAT